GCTCTACCACTTGAGCCACAGCGCCACTTCCGGCTTTTTTCTTTTTGCTTATGTGGTGCTGAGGAATCGAACCCAGGGCCTCATGCATACAGGGCAAGCGCTCTACCACTGAGCCACCTTCCCAGCCCTGCCAGATTGTTTTTTTGAGGTATAGATTCTAATGTTCTCCCCTAGGATGGCCTTAAACTGTAATCTTCCTTTTTTCTACCTCCTTAGTCGCTGGGATTTTAAGTATTCACACCATACAAAAATCTCCATTGTTTTGTTTTGTTTCCTTTCTATCATGGTTACAGATGTGAGCCACTAGCACTTGGCTTCTAGTTTTCTGTGTTTTGTGGTTTGTTTGTTCTTTCTAGTTGAAGGGCTTGAATTCAGTGCTTTTTTGCTTAAGGCTAGCACTCTGCTATTTAGAGCCACAGCTCTACTTCCAGTTTTGGGGTGGTTAATTGGAAAGAGTCTCATGGATTTCCTGCCTGGGGTGGCTTTGAACCGCAATCCTCAGATCTCAGCCTCCTGAGTAGCTAAGATTACGGGTATGAGCCACCAGCACCTGGCTTCCAGATTATTTTTTAGAGTTGATGATGATGAGTCAGGTTCTAGTCTAAGACCTTTACATGAATTAATTATTTCTCACAATAATCCTGAAAGACAAACACTGTTATGTCTATCTTAGACAGGTTAGGTAACTTGTCCAAGGTCATATATAAGTGATTGGTTATGAGCCCGGATTTGAACCCAGGCTTGGCTTAGAACTTAAAAGCTCTTAACTCTATAGCATATAAGCCCACTGGATATTAACAGAAAGCAGTATATTTAACTAGCAAAATGAATGTCACAATATGCCATTCTATAATGGACGCTTATGAACTAGACTCATACTTTTGTCTTGATGGGCTTATTATTAAATTTTTATTTACCTCCATGTGATAAGCTTCTTTGAGAGATTCTACTTCTGCTGACAACTTCTTGATTTCTGCTTGCATTCTTGCTTCTAAATGAGCTTCACGTACTTGAGATGCCCCCAATTCTTCTGCTAAATGATTTCCATGAGCTTCCTAAAAAAACCACACATTTAGCAGTCTATACAAACTGTTTATTAATAACTGTGCCTAAACCAATCTAGTACATTAACAAAAAGTCAAGTAATCTTTTATGCAAATCATATTATAAGTTAACATATTAAATGGCCCACTTTAAAGTCTACATATTTCAGAGACAACTGATAAGGAAGTATTAGTATATTGTTTGCTATCCTAAGATCACTAACCAAAGATTTCTGTGAAACAAAGAACCATAGGATGCTGAACTCTAGCAGATAATCATCTTGATTTTGGCAGATTAATACCCTGCTCATATGTATTTTTGCTGATCAGATCCACTGCTTGCTTATCAAGAATGAGTTGTAGTTTTTATTCAAATATATTTGTTAGTTTATGCAAGCTATACTTACATAATTTAATTATATTAGTAGTCTCTCCTTAAGTGAAAGAGGTTTACTTTCTATGATTTTGTTTTCTGCATTTTCAGTAACTTGCAGTCAACAATAGTTCAAAAATAATTAGTGAAAATTACAGAAATAATCAGTTTGTAAGGTTTTTTTTGTTTTGTTTTTTGTCAGTCTTGGGGCTTGAACTCAGGGCCTGGGCATTGTCCCTGAGCCCTTTTTGTTCAAGGCTCAGCTCTATCACTTTGAACCACAGTTCCACTTTACTTTTATGGTGGTTAATTGGAGATGAGAGTCTAATGGACTTTCCTGACCAGACTGGCTTTGAACTGTGATCCTCAGATCTTACAGCCTCATAAGTAGCTAGTATTACAGACATGAGCCACCAGCGTCTGGCTAATTTTTTACTTTCTTGTCCTTTTAAGTTGTAAGTTTTATTTATTTATTTTTAGCAGTTCTAAGATTTGAACTAATAGTTTCACACTTGTTAAGCTCTTTTATTTAAGCCATACTCCTAGGCCTAAATTTTATTAATTCATACACTGTTCTGAGTAGCATGATGAAATCTCATGCTGTCCTGCTCCATTTAGCCCAGGACAAGAATCATTCTCTTGTTCAGTATATCTACAATCCATATGCTACCTGCCTGTTTTATCACTAGTCATGATGGTTATTAAGCTACTGTCATGTCTGTGTTCAAGTAGTCCTTGTTTTATTTAATGATGGACCTCAAGTTACTAGAGTAATGATGCTGGCAAGTGATAAAACTGTGAAGTGCTATGTACATACGCTTCAGAATTATTTTGGCTTGGTAAGAAATGTACGCATTATCCTGCCCATGTAATTGTAACCCCTCTGTACAGTATCTTCACAAATAAAATAAAATAAAATAAAAAAAAGAATTATTTTGGGCATCCACTAGAGGTCTTTGAAACATATTTGTCATGGATGATGAGAATTACTGTAAGACAAATGCTAAAGAAATAAGCCTGATGGGGCTGGGAAGGTGGCTCAGTGGTAGAGTGCTTGCCTTGCATGCCTGAGGCCCTGGGTTCAATTCCTCAGCACCACATAAGCAAAAAAAGAAAGAAGCTGGAAGTGGCGCTGTGGCTCAAGTGGTAGAGCGCTAGTCTTGAGCTGAAGAGGTGAGGGACAGCATGCAGGCCCAGAGTTCAGGCCCCATGACTGGACTCCCCAACCCCCCAAAAAAGAAAGAAGCCTGCACATGGAAAGTTTTAATGTGAAAATCAAGTTGAATGGTGCTCTTTTTTTGTTGTTGGTCATGGAGCTTGAACTCAGGGCCTGTTGCTGTCCCTGAGCTCCTTTGCTCAAGGCTAGCACTCTACCATTGAGCCATAGTTCCCCTGCCAGTTTTCAATGATTAATTGGAGATGAGAGTCTCATAGAAAGCTGGGTGCCAGTGGCTCATGCCTGTAATCCTAGCTACTCAGGAGGCTGAGATATGAGGATCACCATTCAAAGCTAGCCCAGGCAGGAAAGTCCATGAGACTCTTATCTCCAATAAACAACTAGAAAACCGGAAGTGGTGCTGTGGCTCAAGTGGTAGAGTGCTTGCCTTGAGCTGAAGAGCTGAGGGACAGTACCTCGGCCCAGAGTTCAAGCCCCATAACTGACAAAAAAAAAAAAAAAAGTCTCATAGAAAAAAAAGTCTCATAGATTTTCCTGCTGGGATGATTTTGAACCTTGATCCTTAGATCTCAGCCTCACAAGTAGTTAGGATTACAGGTATGAGCCACCAGTACCAGGTAAGTTGTATTTTTTTGAAAAAAAAAATCAATGAGTGAGTCATAAGTATTTGTTAACTAATTAGAAGCAGACAAGATGTCTGTAAAATACTGTGAGAAACGTATAAAAAAGTAACATGTTAGGCCGGATGTCGGTGGCTCACACCTGTTATTCTAGCTATTCAGTAGGCTGAGATCTGAGGATCAAGGTTCAAAGCCAGCCCAGGCAGGTAAGTCCATGAGACTCTTATTTCTAATAACCAGAAAACCAGAAGTGGCGCTGTGGCTCCAGTGGTAGAGCACTAGCCTTGAGCTGAAGAGCTCAGAGACAGTGCCCAGGCCCAGAGTTCAAGCCCTATGACGGACAAAAAACAAAAACAAACACAAACCAATAAACAACAACAACAAAAAAGTTATACTGATTTTAAATTTTCTTTTAGTTCTTCCTCTAAAGACACTAAATAATATTAAGTCATCATGGAATGAATGTGGTTTATGTAAAACACACTATAAATTCTCAAAAAAATGTATTCTCAAAAAAAATGCAAACATTCTTTTTGACATACCAAAAGAATCAAAGTTTGGCTCATATAAAAACATAGACAGGGACTGGGAATGTGGCTTAGTGGTAGAGTGCTTGCATGCATGAAGCCCTGGGTTCAATTCCTCAGTACCACATAAACAGAAAAAGCCAGAAGTGGTGCTGTGGCTCAAGTGGTAAAGCATTAGCTAGCCTTGAGCTGAAGAGCTCAGGGCAGCACGCAGGCCCAGAGTTGAAGCCCCATGACTGGCCAAAAAAAAAAAATTGTGAATTGTGGTAACATGTACATACAACAAAATTTACCTTTTGAGAACCATTTTGCTCCCACTTTTCTTTTTTTTTGGGGGGGGTCCGGTTGTGGAGCCTGAACTCTGGGCCCGGGCACTGTCCCTCAGCTCTTCAGCTCAAGGCTAGCACTCAACCACTTGAGCCACAGTACCACTTCCAGCTTTTTTCTTTTTGTTTATGTGGTGCTGAGGAATGGAACCCAGGGCCTCAGGCATGCAAGGCAAGCATTCTACCACTGAGCCACCTTCCCAGACCTTGCTCCCACTTTTCTGTAATAGGGTTTAACTCAGGGCCTCACTCATGTTCAGTTTTTGCTGACACTCTACTACTTAACCCACACTTTCAGTCCAGCTTTTTGATATTTTGACTACTTTTTGTTTTTTTTTTGTCTTTTCTTTTTTGGTACTGGAGAACAAACGGAGGATATTGCACTTGATAGGCCACTGAGCTACATCCCAGCCCTTTGTGAGTTATTTTGGACCTGGAATCTTGAGGACTTTTCTGCTTGGGCTGGCTTCAACTTCTAATTCCCCCAGGTCTCAGCCTACTGAGTAGCTAAGCCATGGGTTCTCAGCATGTTTTGTTTTTTGTTTTTTTGTTTTTTTTTTTGAAATAGTATCATACTATGTAGAGTCCACACTAGCACTGAACTCATGATATACCTACTTGAGTGTCCCGAATGGTGGAGTTACAGGAACCCACCTCCAGACCATACTACCATTTTAATGTTTTGGTGCTGGTCTTGGGGCTTAAACTCAGGGCCTGGGCGCAGTCCTTGAGCTTCTTTTGCTCAAGGCTAGCACTTTACTACTTGAGTCATAGCTCCACTTCTGGATTTTTGGGTGATTAATTTGGAGATAAGAATCTCACAGACTTTTGTGTTCAGGCTGGCTTCAAACTGTGATTCTCAGATTTCAGCCTCCAAAGTAGCTAGGATTATAGGTGTGAACCACCAGTACCCAGTCTGTTTTAAATGTTTATAAGTGCATATTTTGGTGGCATTAAGTATATTCATTGTTGTGCAATACACAGTTCATTTTCACAAAAAGTAAATAATACAGTTCTAAAGAGTCTAAAAATTTTAAGGATTTGTCAGAAATACAAAATAATTTAGAACAGGTATTACTTTCTCTTTAGAGAGCTGCTTTATGTCCTCCAGTTCTGTAGAAAGCCTTTCTATTTCTCTCTGTGCTTGGACTTGTTGACAGCGAGCCTCCATCAATTCTGTATGAGAGTTCTGCACCTGCTCCTGTGTTAGCCTCAATTCTTGCCCCAAATCTATAGCCTCCTTGTATTGAGTGGCAATGTACTGTTCTTGCTCTTTTATAACCTGAAAAACACAAGATCTTTGTAGGTCTCAAAGCTGATATAAACATTTATAACCTATGCCTCCTTCTAATTTTTTTCAATAAGTGAATTTTTCCCTTCTAACTAAATGCCTATAAAATTTAACATATAATAAGTTTCATCCACTGTGAAATTGATATTGAGGGAAAAACACCCTTTTTAAAAAAATGGTAAAAAAAAAAAAAAAGGGGCTGGGAAGATGGTTCAGTGGTAGAGCACTTGCCTTGCATGCCTGAGGCCCTGTGTTCAATTCCTCAGCACCACATAAGCAAAAAGAAAAAAAGCCGGAAGTGGCGCTGTGGCTCAAGTGGTAGAGTGCTAGTCTTGAGCTGAAGAGCTGAGGGACAGCGCCCAGGCCCAGAGTTTAGGCCCCATGACCGGACCAAAAAAAAAAAAAGGTAAAAAATATATAAAAATGTGTGAGAGCCAGAGTTCAAACTCCAAAAACATCGCCCCATATAGAAATCTACAATAAATCTTAAACTTTTTTTTTCAATAGTGTGATTTGAACTCAGGGCTTATGCCATTGAGCAACATAATAAGAATTTTTTAAAAACAATTTATTGTAAGATAGGTTCACCCTAAGTTTTTCAGGCTGGCCTTAAAAGTGTGATTGCCCTGCCTCAGCCTCCAAAGTAGCTGGGAGAATAGGCATTACCCATCATGCCTGGTCAGAGCTCTTATTGATATATGTTGCATGACTTTAATATATACAATTATCATTCTTTAACATTAAGGATGTAACATTTATGAGAGAATATACAATAGTACAAAGAGCAAAAATAGGCTAAGTCTCTAGCAAGGAATACGTTGAGCATTCCTAATCTGAAAATCCAAACTCTGAAATATTCCAAAAAATAAGAAACTTTTTGAATACCAATATGACACAAGTAGAAAATTCGATACCATGAAATTGTGTCATGTACAACGTTGTTAAAAATGTTGCATAGCCGGGTGCCGGTGGCTCACGCCTGAAATCCTAGCTACTCAGGAGGCTGAGATCTGAGGATCACGGTTCACAGCCAGTCCGGGTAGCAAAGTCTGTGAGACTCTTACCTCCAATACACCACTAAAACCGGAAGTATTGCTGTGGCTCAAGTGGAAGAGCACTCGCCTTGAGCTGAAGAATGCAGGGACGGTGCCCAAGCCCAGAGTTCAAGCCCCATGACCGACAAAATTAAAAATTTAAAAAAAAAATGTTGCTTGAGGCCTGAAACCAGCCAAAGAAGATGAATCTGTGAGATTCTAATTTCCAATTAAGGAGCAAAAAGTGGTAGAGTGCTAGCCTTGAGTAGACAACACTTAAATGGCATGAGGCCCTCAGTTCAAGCCCCAGTACCAGCCCACAAAGGAAAGAAGTAGGGATGGAGGCATGCTTCAAGCAGTAGAGCATTTGCCTAGCAAGTGGAAATATCATACACAAAAAATTATATCCATTAGAGTGTACAGACACTAATTTACTTGTTAAAAAGGTAAGTGGGTTAAATAGGCTCACCAAAATTCCTCTGGTAAGGTTAAGATAGTTGGACTCAACAACTGACAATGATTATTTGTTAAACTATTTTGTAGCTTGAGTTCCTTGGGGACAAAAGATTGTATCTTATTAATACCTGCATCTTCAACTCTATAGCACAGTAGATTCTTAATATTTATTGACCATACAAATATATTACTGTGATTTATTGTGTGATACATAACATGCCAAAAGGAATACAAAGATAAATAAGACATTGTCCTAAACTATCATAATATAGTTTAAAGGTCAAAGAAATGAATAGCATCTAGCACAAATAAGTAGCTTAGAAATACTATAGCACAGTTGCTGTATATTAAAGCTAAACAGATTAAGCCACTATTCATTTAAATCTTGTAGAATACCATTTTTTTGCTGGAAAATAACTTGCTTACATTTTCCATTTCTTTCATCCTTTGCTGTGTTCTTTCACTTTCCTTTTTCAGTTGACTTATCTCTTGCTCATTTTGTAGTATCACAAACTCTTTTTCTCGAAGCTGTTCTTTTGCATTTTGCAATTTTTCATTTAAATTTTCTATCTAAATTTTAAGGAGAAGGACATTATTAATAGATTAAATGAGCATAGCTGTTTTAAGTCAAACTTTAAAAGCTCCTATTCAAAAATATCCAAAAGCAGTCTGAGTGGGGTGGTACACATGTCTAATCTCAGCACTCAAGAGGCAGAGACAGAAAGGTCCTGAGTTCAAGACTAATTTGGGCTATATAGCAAGACCTTATCTCAAAATAAAATAAAAATGAGTAAACATTCATTTTTATTAAGACAACTATAATTTGAAACTAAGCTTGAGAATTCTTGTTTAATAAAATGCTTATATGTACACTTGAGTGTACTTAAAATATACTACAGGGCACTGGTGGCTTACACCTTTAATCCTAGCTACTCAGGAAGCTGAGATCTGAGGATCACGGTTTGAAGACAGCCTGGGCAGAAAAGTCCCCATGAGGCTCTTATCTCCAATTAAACAGTCAAAAACCAGAAGTGGTGCTGTGGCTCAAGTGGTAAAGAGCTAGCTTGAGCAGAATGTCCAGGCTCTGAGTTCAAGCCCCACATTGACATAAAAAAAAGATAAAGATCAAGATCTCAATAACAATTAGCATGAGAAAAATCTCACCAAAAGAAATGTTATAGGGCTGGGTATCAGTGTCTCACACCTGTAATCCTAGCTACTCAGAAGTCTGAGATCTGAGGATCACGGTTCAAAGCCAGCCCAGTCAGGAAAGTCTTGAGACTCTTATTGCCAATTAACTACCAGAAAACTGAAGTGGTGCTGTGGCTTAAGTGGTAGAGGACTAGCTTTGAGCTAAAGAGCTGAGGGATAGTGCCCAGGCCCAGAGTTCAAGCTCCATGGCTGACAAAAAAAAAAGTGTCCTTCCTACTTTGTTCTTTCCTCAGAAGTGAACACTATAATCACTTGTAAATCCTTCCATCAATACATCATAAATATTCAATTGCATTAGATAAATATTCAGCTATGTACATATTATAAGAAAATGAAGTCAATATATAAGAAAATTTTTTATCAAAATATTAAGAGGAGAAAAATAAATGTTCAGTACTATGATGGTTGTATTTTCTTCTTCTGGGACCAGACTTGAACCTTAGGTCTGGGTCTTTTGCTCACAGGTTGACATTATACCATCAGCCCCTATGTAATGTTTTTATTCTTGGTGTTGTTGGTCATGAGGCTTGAGCCTGGGACCTGGCACTATCCCTGACCTCTTTTGCTCAAGGCTAGCACTATTGAGCCAAGCACCACTTTCGGTTTTCTTGTGGTTAATTAGAGGTAAGAGTCTCACAGACTTTCCTGCTAGGGCTAGCTATAAACTTCAATCCTCAGATCTCAGCCTCCTGAGTAGTTAGGATTACAGGCATAAGCTATCAGCACCAGGCTTGTAATTTTTTTGTTTTTGTTTTTTTTTTGGTCGGTTGTGGGACTTGAACTCTGGGCCTGAACGCTGTCCCTCAGCTCTTTAGCTCAAGGCTAGAGCTCTACCACTTAAGCCACAGTGCCACTTCCACCTTTTTCTGTTTATGTGGTGCTGAGGAATTGAACCCAGGGCCTCATGCATGCAAGGCAAGCACTCTTACCACTGAGCCACCTTCCCAGCCCTGTTTTTGTTTTTTTAAGCACATGTACTCTATAAACAAAAGACATCATAGCTGGGCACTAGTGGCTCATGCCTGTAATCCTAGCTACTCAGGAGGCTAAAGTCTGATAATCATGATTTGAAGCCAGAAGAGGAAAAGTCCCTGTGATTCATATACAATTAACCAACAAAAACCCAGAAATAGAATTGTGGCTCAAGTGGCAGATTGCCAGACTTGAGTGAAAAAGCTAGACAGTGCCCAAGCCCTGAGTTCAAGCCCCACTACTAGCACAAAAATAAACACATGCATACATACATACATACATACATATCATAGCCAAGCACAGGAGTGTAGTCCCAGTTACTTAGGAAGCTTGAATATGACTTGAAAATAGGAGTTGAAGATTAGCCTTGCAAACAGTGAAATCTAAACTCAAGAACAGCCAGCATTTGCAGGACTCTGAGATCTGAGGATTGAGGTTCAAAGCCAGCTCCCAAAGGAAAGCCCTTGAGACTCTCTCTAACCAGCCACAAAGCTCTACTGGAGGTGTGATTCAAGTGGTAGAGTACCAGCAATGAGTTAAAAAAGCTGAGCAAAGGGCCCAAGACTCTGAGTTCAAGCCCTAATACCATTAGAACAACTAACCAAACCAAACTAAACCAAAGAAAAAATACTATGTGAATAGGTATGTACAATTATGAACTTACTTTGCAAACAATATTTAGTTTTTCAGTACTGGGGTAGGAACTCAGGGTGTGGTACTTGTTAGGTGCTGTAACCACTTGAGCCACACCCCCAGCCTTTTTTGCTTTTATTATTACTATTATTATTTGTAGTCCTGAGGACTAAACTCAAGGCCTCACACTTGCCAGGCAAGTACTTTTCCATTGAGCTAAACTGCCAACCCCAACTTTTTGTGTGTATGTGTCAGCTGTGGAGCTTGAACTTGGGGTCTGGGCACTGTCTCTGGCTCTTTCTTTTTTTTGGTCGGTCATGGGGCTTGAACTCTGTGCCTGGGTGCTATCCCTGAGCTCTTCAGCTCAAGACTAGTGCTCTACCAGTTGAGCCAGAGTACCATTTCTAGTTTTCTGGTGGTTAATTGGAGATAAGAGTCTCCTGAACTAGCCAGGCAATGGTGGCTAACGCCTGTAATCCTATCTACTCAGGAGGCTGAGATCTGAGGATCACCGTTCAAAGTCAGCCCAGGCAGGAAAGTCTATGAGACTCTTATCTCCAATAAACCACTCAGAAAACCAGAAGTGGCACTGTGGCTCAGTGGTAGAGCTAGTGCTCAGCCTTGAGCTGAAGAGCTGAGGGGCAACGCCAAGGCTCAGAGTTCAGGCCCCACAACCGACCAAAAAAAAAAAAAAGTCTCCTGGACTTCCCTGCCCAGGCTAGCTTTGAACTGTGATCCTGAGATTTCAGCCTCCTATGTAGCTAAGATTACAGGCATGAGCCACCTCATGCCCACCTCATTACATATTATTTATTTTTTATTTATTTATTTATTTTGGGTCCGGTCATGGGGCCTGAACTCTGGGCTTGGGCACTGTCCCTCAGCTCTTCAGCTCAAGACTAGCACTCTACCACATGAGCCACAGCGCCACTTCCGGCTTTTTTCTTTTTGCTTATGTGGTGCTGAGGAATCGAACCCAGGGCCTCGAGCATGCAAGGCAAGCGCTCTACCACTGAGCCACCTCCCCAGCCCCCGCTCATTACATTTTAACAAAGTCTCATGTGTTGCCTGTGCCAGTCTGGGCTCAATCCTTTTAATTATGCTTCTGAGTGAGATGAGATGTACACATCACTACACCCTGTTTTTTTTTGTGTTTTGTTTTGTTTTTTTTTTTCCCAGTTCTGGGGCTTGAACTCAGGGTCTGGGCACTGTCCTTGAGCTTCTTTTGCTCAAGGCTTGTACTTTACCACTTGAGCCACAGCTCCACTTCCAGCTTTTCCTGTTTACTGTGGTACTGAGGAATCGAATCCAGGGCTTCATGAATGCTAGGCAAGCATTCTACCACTAAACCACATTCTTAGCCCCTGCACTCTGCTTTTTATTGGCTGAGATGAGGTCTCTTGAAAATTTACCCAGTATGTCCTTGAACAGTATCCTCCTGATCTCCACCTCTCAAGTAGTTAGGAATACAGGCATGAGTTATAACTCATGGTCTGCTTAAACAATTTAACATGTAATTTAAAAATAATTACCTGTTTGTTGCACTCTTTAAGTTCTAATTCTGATTTTTCCAGAGTACCCTCTAATTTTATTATTTTTTGTTCCATTTCTCCTCTGTGTTCACGAATAGTCATATCCAAATGAGTAACCTAAAAATAAAAGTAATGAATTGTTCAATTTTATTCTAATGTAAAAAGTTGCATGGTTAGAATATGATTTAGAGGGCTGGGAAGGTGGCTCAGTGGTAGAACGCTTGCCTTGAATGCTCGAGGCCCTGGGTTCGATTCCTCAGCACCACATAAGCAAACAGAAAAAAGCTGGAAGTGGCACTGTGGCTCAAGTGGTAGAGCTCTAGCCTTGAGCTGAAGAGCTGAGGGACAGGGCTGGGGAGGTGGCTCAGTGGTAGAGTGCTTGCCTTGCATGCATGAGGCCCTGGGTTTGATTCCTCAGCACCACATAAACAAAAAGATAAAAGCCGGAAGTGGTGCTGTGGTTCAAGTGGTAGAGCACTAGCCTTGAGCTGAAGAGTTGAGGGACAGCGCCCAGGCCCAGAGTTCAGGCCCCACGACCGGACCAAAAAAAAAAAAAAAAAAGAATATGATTTATAATTTTCTTTAGTGATATAACTATAAGGTTAACTAATCTCAAATAAATTGTTTTTTTTTTTCAATAAGGAAAATACTCAGGGGCTGGGAAGGTGGCTCAGTGGTAGAGTGCTTGCTTTGCATGCATGAGGCCCTGGGTTTGATTCTTCAGTACCACGTAAACAGAAAAAGCTGGAAGTGGCACTGTGGCTCAAGTGGTAGAGTGCTATCCTTGAGCTGAAGAGCTGAGGGACAGTGCCCAGGCCCAGAGTTCAGGCCCCAAGACTGACAAAAAAAAAGAAAAAGAAAAAAAGAAATAAGCTAAAAATTGCCCATTTTACCAAATATCAGTGACTTCTGAAAGCTTGTGTGATTATGTATTAACAGAAAATGTCAATAAAATATAATTAAGACAACCAACCTGAGCTGCTCTTTGCTTTAGCTCCCAATTTCTTTCCTTAAGGGCCTGATCCATTTCAAGGACTTCTTGCTTTTTGTCTTCAAGCTCCATCTTGCATGCTCTGCAATTTATTAAAGAAAAAAAAGATCAAAGCAAATGGGAATAATACTAGTATTCAGAACACTTATAAAAAATGACATTACTTTTCCAATAAATTAAATGTTGTAAAATGTACATAGTTACCTCAAATTCAAAGGACTCAAAGATACAATATATGCAAAAAGTGACTGACATAAAAAAATTAAACTGTACTATTATTGGCCATTTAAACTGGTTGATTTCATGGGGGCTGGGAAGGTGGCTCAGTGGTAGAGCGCTTGCCTTGCATGCATGAGGTCCTGGGTTCGATTCCTCAGCACCACATAAGCAAGAAGAAAAAAGCCGGAAGTGGTGCTGTGGCTCAAGTGGTAGAACGCTAGCCTTGAGCTGAAGAGCTGAAGGATAGTGCCCAGGCCCAGAGTTCAGGCCCCACGACCAGATCAAAAAATAAATAAATAAATAAATAAACTGGTTGATTTCTTTCATGTACCATTAATAATAGCTTAGCAAATATTTACTAGATGTTTTCTATACTCCAAGGTTACAAGTACTGAGAATTTAATAATAAACAAGTAAATATCCTTTATTAAGAAGTTACATTTTAATAAGTCTGAGAGGAAAGACAGACTTTAAATAATAAACAATTAAGCAAAAAATATCTAATTCTCAGTACTATGTTAGAACATGGAAAGGGTGATGAGATAGGATAGGGTAGTTTCCTTAGAAACAATTTGGAAAGGCTCCTCTGAGGTAACGTGAAGGGCAAGAAGAATCTGCTATTAGAATCCTCATTTCAGGCATAAGAACAGCTCATGCAAAAATCCTAAGGCAGGAAGAAATTCAATGAGTTTCATACCATTCAGGAGAATGTAAGAAATGAGATCAGTAAAGTAGGAATCTGACCATGTGGGGCTTCATATTCTAGGATAAAGAGCTTACATACTTGTTTTTTTGTGTTTTTTATTGGTCATGGGACTTGAACTTGGGGGCTGGGTGCTATCCCTGAGCTCTGTTGCTCAAGACTAGCACTCTACCACTTGAGCCAAAGTGCCACTTCCGGCTTTTTCTGTTTATGTGATACTAAGGAATTGAAACCAGGGCTTCAAACATGCTAGGCAAACACTCTACCACTAAGCCACATTCCCAGCCCCTTTTTTCATTTTTTTAGATCAGGGTAAAATGGTCAAAAGACTGAAGGTAGAATTATTAACCAATAGTAATAGCTGACTCAGTTAGATGGAACATGGGATGGAAAAACTAGAATGAGCCACAGTGAGCAACTAAGAAGTATGGACATGTAGAAGTTAACAAACGTTACTATATGAGCCAAGGATTCACAGTAACAAAGAAAACAGATACCTGTAATTGTGAAATCATTTTGTATTATTTAGCTTACCTAAGTTCAGCGGTAAGATCCTTTATAGTAGTATATTTTTCCTCCAGTGATAACTGAGCCTTCTGCAGTACATCTCTCAATTCCTGCAGTTGTCTTAGAGTACTTTTTAATTCTCCATGAGCATTGTGTAGTTCATTCTCCAATGCTTCCCGTTTCTGCACGGTTTCTGTTAGTTCAGTTTCAGTGTGATGTTGTAACTTTTCTAACTCTTTCACTATTAAGAGGAAAGAATAAATTTAGAATTATATATAAACCATTAGTCATTAAGACTTTTCAAAATAAACTCCCTTGTAACTTGTTGATGCTAATAATAAATATGGAAAAAAGGGCAATGTAAAATGTCCCATAACAAAAAAGAACCTTTTTTTTTGGGTCCAGTCATGGGGCCTGAACTCGGCCTGGGAGCTGTCCATCAGCTCTTCAACTCAAGGCTAGCCACAGCGCCACTTCCGGCTTTTTTCCTTTTGCTTATGTAGTGCTGAGGAATGGAACCCAGGGCCTCATGCATGCAAGGCAAGTGCTCTACCACTGAGCCACCTTCCAAACCCAAAAAAAGAACTTTTATTTTGTTTTTGTCAGTCAAGGGGCCTGAACTCTGGGCCTGGGAGCTGTTCCTCAGCTCTTCAACTCTAGCTAGAACTCTACCACTTGAGCCATAGTACCACTTCTGGTTTTTTCTACTATGTGGTGCTGAGGAAATCGAACCCAGGGCCTCACGCATGCAAGGCAAGCACTCTACCACTGAGCCACCTTTCCAGCCCCCAAAAGTTAAGATTAAAGTTAACATTCCTTGTGCCTTCCTGCCTGATTACCTCAAATTCTTTTTCTTTTTTTTGTCGGCCGTGGGGCTTAAACTCTGAGCCTGAATGCTGTCCCTCAGCTCTTCAGCTCAAGGCCAGCGCTCTACCATTTGAGTCACAGTGTCACTTCTAGTTTTCTGAGTGGTTTATTGGAGATAAGAGTCTCAAGGAGTTTCCTGCCCGAGATGGCTTTGAACCATAATCCTCAGATCTCAGCCTCCTGAGTAGCTAGGATTACAGGCATGAGCTACCACTCTACTTCTTAAACACAAATACACAGGAAGGTAAACTCAGCTAACAGGTGCTTACCAGTATTTGTTTTCTTTTCCAGCTCTGTTTTTGTCTGATCTAACAGCATATCTAATTGAGAAAGATGTATTGCTTTGTTTTCTCCATCTCGTTTCAGGTGCATTGTTTCTTTTTCCATTTTACATAGCTCTTCTTTGTATTGATCCATCTCTAGTTTTACTTGTCTAATTAAAAACAAACAATAGGATAAATAACATGGAAATTTAAAAACTAACTTGTCTGACTAGACAAAGTCTGTAACTTATGGGGGTACAAAATGTATAGTTAGAATCTTAAATCAATATATGTATTTGTGCCAGCATGGGCTTGAACTCGTGGTCTGGACATTGTCCCAGAGCTTTTTGGTCAAGGCTAGCATTTTATCCCTTGAGCCATAGCTCCACTTCTGACTTTTTGGTGGTTAATTAGAGATAAGAGTCTCATAGACTTTTTTTTTTGCCTGGGCTAGCTTCAAATCTTGATACTCAGATCTCAGCTTCTTAAGTAGCTAGGATTATAGGTGTGAGCCACTGGTACCTATTTTCTATCTAAAAACTATTTTAACTCAAATCAGATCCAAGAGGGTATATATAGGTATATTTTAACTTCAATACTTCAGGAGAATAAGTTTTTGTTTCTTTTTGTCAGTGGGGCTAGAGCTCAGGGTGTGGGCACTGTCCCTGATCTTTTTTGCTCAAGGCTAACAATCTACTGTTTTGAACCACAGCACTAGTTCTGGTTTTCTGAGGTCAACAGAAGATGTCTCATGGCTTTACAGCCTGGGCTGGCTTTGAACCAGGATACTCAGATCTCAGCCTCCTGAGCAACGAGGATTACAGGCAGGAGCCACTTTCAGTGATGAAAAATTTTAATAAATTACAGCTTCAGAAGAAAAAAAGTAACAGCAGAAAAAGAGAACATCCTTTAGGTAAGATTTTTTTGAAGCCAGGTGGTAACTTCTTATGAAGTTTAATCATTTTATGAGTTTTCCTTCATTTTAGAGCTTAGCCTTCCTCATTATAATAAACAGCCTTCCTAGTTATAACCAAGAAGAGTTGAATATGGCTAATATACTTTATGTATGAAACTAGAACAATGAAAGCTGTGGAAATTGTTTAGAGGTAATGAATCCAATTAAGATACATTGTGGCCGGGCACCAGAGGCTCATGCCTATAATCCCAGCTACTCAGGAGGCTGAGATCTGAGGATCATGGTTCAAAGCCAGCCTGGGCAGGAAAGTCCTTTAGACTCTTATCTCCAATAAACCACTAGAAAACTATAAGTGGTGCTGTATCTCAAGTGGTAGAGCACTAGCCTTGAGCTGAAGAGTGCAGGGACAGCGCTCAATCCCAGAGTTCAAGCCCCACAATGGATACCCCCCCAAAAGATACATTGTAAACATATACTGAAATGTCACAATGAAATCTCCCTCTAGAGCTAATACATACAATAAAAGTGTTCTTTTAAGTCTTTTTTGTTTAGAAGTCAAAAACAGAATGGGTCAGAAAGCAAGTCATTATTTTCATTTTTCCAGTAGAGAAGAGAGCAAGGAGTTTCAGTGGAAGAGAAGCAAAGAGCAGAGAGTTGAAATTTTGAAAAAACAGGTGGTATAAAAGCTATCCTCTATGAAAAGTGGTAGGATGGTATTGTTTGGCTTTTCTTTTGGTGTTTTTAAAAAGAACTGTAAAAAGAATTGTATTTTTTATTGTAGAAATACTGTACAGAGGGGTTATAGTTACATGAGTAAGGTATTGAGTGCATTTCCTATCAAGCATTGTTACCTCCTCCTTTGTTCTTCCCCTACCATCCCTCCCCTCTCCACCTCCCCAACTCCTCTCCATGCTCCCAAGTTGTAAAGTTCGTTTTCAACATAGTCTCTTGTACCTCTCATTGTTACAATTTTTTTGGGGGGGTCCAGTTGTGGGGGCTGAACTCTGGGCCTGGGCACTGTCCCTCAGCTCTTCAGCTCAAGGCTAGTGCTCTACCACTTGAGCCACAGAGTCACTTCTGGCTTTTTTCTTTTTGCTTATGTGGTGCTGAGGAATCGAACCCAGGGCCTCATGCATGCAAGGCAAGCGCTCTACCACTGAGCCACCTTCCCAGCCCCTCTGTGAGACTCTTATCTCCACTAAACTACAAAAAAGCCAGAAGGGGAACTAAGGCTCAAGTGGTAGAGTACTAGCCTTCAGCACAAAAGCTTAGAGACAGCAAAAAAAAAGGCATGAGAGGTATGAAAGAGATGTAAATGAAAATGCTATAGGATCATAGACTATTAAAAATTTTTTTCCTCAGGCAAATGTTTTACCAGTCAAGGTCTAATGTAGAAACTATGATACAACTGATATAAAAATGCAAAGCTAAACTAAACTAACATAGTCTCATTTTACCTGGCAGTACCAGTAAGCTCAATGACTTTTTGTCTTTTCAAATCTGCGTCACGTGCAGCTGCTTCATATTTCTCTTCCATTTTTCTCAGCTTTTCAGAAGAACCTTCCTTTTGTTTTTGAAGCTCTTGTTCTAGTTTTGATACCTTTTAAAGCAATGTTCAGTAAACATTTTAAGTTCAATCACAAGAAAAATATTTTTATAAATACGCAGATCAGTCTACTGCTTAGTTTTAAGATGCTTTATAAAAATCAAAGCAAGGGGCTGGGAAGGTGGCTCAGTGGTAGACTGCTTGCCTTGCATGCATGAGGCCCTGGGTTCGATACCTCAGCACCACATAAGTAGAAAAGCCAGAAGTGGCGCTGTGGCTCCAGTGGTAGGGTGCCAGCCTTGAGCTGAAGAGCTGAGGGACAGCACCCAGGCCCAGAGTTCAGGCCCCACAACTGACAAAAAAAAAAAAAAATCAAAGCAAGTCTGGCATAATGGTGCCCACCTACAGTCCTAGATACTAGGGAGATTGAGGAGCAGGATTGCTTGAGCCCACACATTTGGGACCAGTCTAAGCAATACTAAAGTAAGAATTGAGCAAGGGAGATACAGTTCAGTGATAGGCACTTGCCTGGCACGTGTAAGAACCAGAGGAAGAAATGGTAAAATGAATAATAAATAGTAAATGATATAAACGATGTCCTTTTTACTGTCCTCACATGAAATGTCCTTTCTTTTGTGGTAATCTATGTTCCTTTCTGTATAACTGGCTCATTCAGTTACTGGACTCTGAGTTTCTCACCTAACCACAAAATAACATGTGCATTTGCTCCTATCCATTCCCATTCTTCTGTTCTACTAAAGGAGATATTCTTTTAAAAAAAATGGGTTGTAGGACTTGAACTCAGGGCCTAGGCATTGTCCTTAAGCGATTTTTCTCAATGCTGGTGCTCTGTCACTTTGAATCACAGCTCCACTTCTTTTTTGCTGGTGAATTGGAGATAAGAGTTATACAGGCTCCTAACCAAGCTGGCTTTGAATCACAATCTTCAGATCTTAGCCTCCCGAGTAGCTATGATTATAGGCGTGAGCCATCAGTGCCAGACAAAACAGGAGTTATTCTTTATCCTATGTCTGTAAGAGTTCTAGATTCATTCCAATCCACTTTTCTCAGGAACTTCAACGCTAATGACTAGTTTTGCTCTCTCCTGCATCTCCAATCTCTCTTTATACTGTTTGTTTCAATAGCATTTAAAGAAATAAATAAATAAAAAATAAAACATCTCAAACCCCAAAAGCTTTACTACAAACCTCTACCTACCACTTTTTCTTTCAACTCCTTCAATCTAACTTCTGAGTTTCTACATATTCTCACTTTCTCACTTCTCATTTATTCCTCAACCCATAGCAAACAAGTTACCACATCAACTGTGATTAAATCACGAAAAACTTCCAAGTTGCTAATTTATTGGTGGACTTTTCCAATTTTATTTGACATGATTCCAATAGATCATCAATCGTTCCTTTTACCATATCTTTCAGGGGTCTGTCCAAGTTAACATTCTCAGTTCTCATTCTATATTCTCTCTCTAGTTAATTTCAGCCACTTAATGTTTTTTTTTTTTTTTAATTTTTTTTGGGTCCGGTCGTGGGGCCTGAGCGCTGTCCCTCAGCTCTTCAGCTCAAGGCTAGCACTCCACCACTTGAGCCACAGCACCACTTCCGGCTTTTTTCTTTTTGTTTATGTGGTGCTGAGAAATCGAACCCAGGGCCTCAGGCACACAAGGCAAGCGCTCTACCACTGAGCCATCTTCCCAGCCCCTCACTTAATGTTATCTATGAACATACACATGACTTAAGGGGTCTCAAAGTCAATCTTCGCTTTTTACCTTAATATCCTCTTTCTCCTAAAAACCTCTCATTGGAGAACTAAGTACAAATTATAAGCCATGATTACCCATACTTTCAAGTTTTGAAAGTATGTCCCCCTCCCCCAATCCTGGGGCTTAAACTCAGGACCTGGGAGCTGTCCCTGAGCTTTTCGGCTCAATGCTAGCCTCTAGTACTCTGAGCCATGGCTCCAATTTTGGTTTTATGGTGGTTACTTAGAGATAAAGTCTCACAAACTTTCCTGCCCAGGCTGGCTCTGAACTATGAGTAACTGAGTAGCTAGAATTACAGGTGTGAGCCACCAATGCCTGGCTCATGACTTTACCTATTTTTATAATAATACTCTAGAGCAATGTGAAATTTATAATCAGCCATTTATACAACTAACCAAAAATCTCTTAATTAAAGTTTTCTATTTTATATAAATAAAACTTTAGGGGCTGGGAAGGTGGCTTAGTGGTAGAGTGCTTGCCTCACATGCATGAGGCCCTGGGTTTGATTCCTCAGCACCACATAAACAGAAAAAGCCCAAAGTGGCACTGTGGCTCAAGTGGTAGAGCACTTGTCTTGAGCTGAAGAGCTGATAGACAGCTCCCAGGCCCAGAGTTCAAGCCCCGAGATTGACAATAAATAAATAAATAAAACTTTAGCCAATTATACATACCTGTTTTTCAAGTTTAGTCTGAATGTCTTCTAACTCTCCATTTCTAATTGTCTCCTGCTGTAACATTTGCTGTTGTTGCTGAAGAGTATGTTGTAGAATCACGTTTTGCTCAGTAGTCTCCTGAAGACTGTGATTCCTTATCTTTAGCTCTTTCTGTAAACAATATACCTAACAAATACACATAATACTATAATGACATTTTTGAAATAACAAGCAGTAAAATGTAAATGCTGCCTTCTGGGTAATTATCTGGAGATAATTAATGTCTACTTGTGTGACAACTGTATTTATGAAAAAAACCTCTCATTTTTCAGATGTGGAAATATATTAGAATCCTAGCTGCTCAGAAGGCTGAGATCTGAGGATTTTGGTTTAAAGCCAGACTGGGCAGAAACGTCTATGACATTTATTTTATTTTATTTTTGTTGGTCTTAGGGCTTGAACTCAAGACCTAAGTGCTATCCCTGAGTATCTTTTGCTTAAGAATAGCATTCTGGGGCTGGGAAGGTGGCTCAGTGGTAGAGTGTTTGCCTTGCACACATGAAGCCCTAGGTTTGATTCCTCAGCACCACATAAGCAGAAAAAGCTGGAATTGGCGCTCTGGCTCAAGTGTTAGAGTGCTAGCCTTGAGCTGAAGAGCTGAGGGACAGTGCCCAGACCCAGAGTTCAGGGCCCACAACCAGCAAAAAAACAAACAAACAAAAAAAAGAAATAAAGAAAAGAAAAAAAAAGAATAGCGTTCTACCACTTGACCCACAGGCCCACTCCTGGCTTTTTCTGAGTAGTTTACTAGAAATAAAAGTCTCATGGTCTTTGCTACCTGTACTGGCTTCGAACCACAATCCTCAGATCTTGGCCTACTGAGTAACTAGGATTACAGGCATGTCACAAGTGCCTGACCTGTGTGATACTCTTACCTCCAATTAATCACCAAAAATCTGGAAGTCGAAGTATAACTCAAGTGGTAGAGCAC